AAGTCCACCATGCCTTATGTGGAGAGAATTAGGGAGTTGGATATGTTCATCCCGATTGTCAGCTGTGTTTGTGTGTGTGCCTTCAGTTGTTTGTCAACTTACGGCTACTGTCCCACTCGATCTCCTTCAGAAAAATAATAATAATAATAATAATAATAATCAAATTTATATTAATTGGTAACATTAAATTTACTACAGTAAAATGGTAGCACAAGGCATTTCATCACCTTTGCTTGAATCGTCAGGCCACTTAGATTGACAGAGTAGAAAAATATATTTATTTGATTAGAATTTCAGGACAACAAGAAATGTTACTTAATTGCAGCAAAAGTAAATGTGCAACAAACTAGGCATTTAATAAATTAAATAAAGTGTTTTTATAACAGAAACATAGAATTATATCTTAAAACTAAAGGATATATAAAATTAAGACTGACAGAATGTAATACACCAGCTATGCTCTACTTACAAACCTTTTGCAAGGACATGGCCAAATATATTCTTCTAAATATATACTATAATCTACTATTGAGAGAATATATTTACCATGTACTGGATTGTAAGACATTTTTATTTTAGAGGTGGAGTCAGAAACAGATTCTGACTCTTAACTAAGCAGCCCTGGGATTGGATTAGATATCCTTCGGATGAAAACATATATCTAGTTTTTGTAGTGGATGCAAGCAAGGATATGAGCAAGTTTATCGCTAACTATTCCCTACATTTCCGCCTTTGTCTCTTTGCCGTGTCCATCAAGGTAACCTGAATTCTGCCTGATTGAGTTTTTAATTGTGCATTGAGCTGGTTGTTGTAGTTTTTGGAGGGCTCAGGGGTGATGTGTCAATAATGCAAACAGGTTCCTATTCTCAAGAAAGCTTTTGCTTCCTCCTTTAGAAGAGGCACTCCTTCCACCCCCAGCTTTGAGCATTTGCAAGAAGCGTTTGTAGATGGTGTGTTGCCCTGTGTTTGAAATTTCAACTTGGCTTCCCTTCTCAGATAATGGAGGGTGATCCTTTTGTGATGGTGCAAACCCCTCCACCTCACCCAATTTGCTTTCAATGACCTGTTACAGATAACCCTTTTCTTGTCTAGTGTTAATGTGTAACTTCAACTCTCTTTCACCTTCCCTTTTGGAATCTGGGCTTGGTGTTTTGTGTGTGTGTGTGTGTGTGTGTGTGTGTGTGTGTGCGCAGACACACAATCCCAGTCCTTTGATGCCAAGGATCTTAGACATTTCAGCTACTAATAATTGCATATCCGTACCCTATGTTCCATGGGCCCTTTCACACTCATAATTAAAGCATTTGTGATTCCATTTTGAGTGCCATGGTTCTTTCTGTTGAATGCTGGGATTTGCAGTTTAGGTAGAAGTGCTGTATTTAGAGAGCCACCGTGGCGTAGTGGTTTGAGTGTTGGTCTATGACTCCGGAGACCAGGATTCGAGTCCCAGCTTGACCATGAAACCTACTGGGTGACCTAGGACAAGTCACATACTCTTAGCCTGGGGAAGGCCATGGCAAGCCTCCTCTGAACAAATCTTGCCAAGAAAACCATGTGATAAGGGTTGCTATAAGTAGAAAATGACTTGAAGGCACACAACACCAACAATATTGATTATTGTGGTCAAGCTTCATGACTGCTGTGGTTACTCCTAGTAGCATAGTGGCATGTGATGTATTAATTGGCATTTCTTTGTCTAGGGCAGTGGTCCCCAGCCTTTGGTCCTCCATTTGGTTTGGACTTCAGATCCCAGAAGCCCAAGCCAGCCTGGGGAACTGTCAGGAATTATGGGAGCTGCAGTCCAAAACATCTGGAGGACTAAAGGTTGGGAACCACTGGTCTAGAGAATTAAGCCAAATAGAAGTTGGACCATGTCTGGTTCTTGTCCCAAAAGATGTGCTTCTGGGGAACATGCTGGCTGTCATTGCAGCGATTCAGTTACAAGATCGTTTGTCCTTTTCATTAAGAGTATGTATTTGGGGCTAGTTGCTAAAGCTGTCAGCTTGTTTGCTGGGGAACAAATAGCCCTTTTTCTGGCACTTCAATTTTCTCTATCTTAATGAAAAACAAAGGTTAGTTTACATAGTAATAAATATTATTATTGAAGTTGTGGCTTTGTTCCTGAGTTGGCTTTTTTAAAAAAAGCACACACAGAGAACATGAAATTCTTCAAGTGGCATCATAATGGTCTTTTTAAAAAACTTTCTCAATTTAAAAAAGCACTTAACATTATGAGTAATAATCGCCTTTATTTACTAGGGAATACCTGTGGCTCGACAGTTGTGTATGTAACAACAACACAGCTGCAAATGCCCCCATCTTTCTTCCCATGGAGTTCAGTGGGATGTACTCCCCAGGAAATGCATATAGGATTGTGGTTTACAACTCTTGAAGAAAACATGGTGCATTGTGAGTGAAGTACATTTAGTCCATCTCAAAGTACATCCAGCCTTGCTTGATGGGGGTAATGTTGGATAAGGAGGCAAAGCAGATCTATGTGACTCATCAGAACCCAATGGGAAGGGCTTTGTTTCTGTGATGCTTTCAGGAAAGAACAATTGGTGGATTTGCCCCTTTCGTTAGTAGGTGGGTTGTGCATTTTTGGATTTTCCTGCCTTCACCTCTTGGAAAGTTTTCGCCTTCTCTAGTGTTTATTGTGGTTAGTGTCTCTCAAGTAGACCTCTATTCATGGTGACCTTGTGGATGAAACATCTCCAAGAATCCCTGTCCTCAACTTTTCTGCTTCAGTCCTGCAGGCTATGCTCCATAATTGAGTCTATCCACCTAGCATGCGGTATTCCTCTTTTTCTGCTGTCCCCCACCTTTCCTAGCATCCTCCAGCTTTCCTAGCATCATTGTCTTTTCTTATGATTCATCTTTCCTCATGATGTGGCCAAAATACGAAAGCCTCAGTTTAATCACCTTGGCTTCCAGAAAGAGTTCAGACTTGAAGTTCTTTGATTTGATTTGATTGGGAGTAGAATGAGGTAAGACAGGACAGAATTCAAAGTATGCTGGTTATAACTTTGAAGACGCAACAAGGCTTGGATCCATACTGTGTGAAAGACTGTTAGGTGACACACGGTCATAATAAGCAGGTTTCCAGCCAGTTTTGAGGTGGGGTGTTTAGATGACCGGAAAGGGCACTTAAGCCGTGCTATGGAGGGAAAAGCTGGACTAAAATGGAGCTGGATTTTTCTGCTGCTTCCTGGAAAGTGCGCACCTTCACATGTATTTATAAATGCACTGATACCAGGGTGGCTCTAAAGGGGTGCTCTTTCCAAACCCAACTCTAATTGTGCATGTAAATGCCGAAATGCAGGAGCATTTTTAAAAGGGATGGACCTGCTGCACCTAAGCACTGAGGGTGGCAATGCCCAAACAAGAAACTGTGATGTCTCTCATGGAGATGAGTACAACATACATAAAACAGACAATCAAAGAAGAGGCATGGGGTGAAGGGGGGGCATGATTGTACATTGCTGGTATCTGCATGGGCACACACCTTTGCTCTGATGCCTTGTTCTGGTGAAGCGCTGCACATGTGACTATGTGCAGATGCACAGGAATGGTCATGTAATGGGATGGCAGTCGCTGGTGGTTCGCTCCTGCGAAAGTGCGCAGGGATGGTGGGGTGGGAGAAAAAAGTACCAAGTGACACAGTTTGAAGCTGCGCCATGTGGTCATGACATGCACACTCCAGCCGCCTTGGGAGTGGGCAGTGCAGTTGGTGGGGTTTCAATGCGGCTTTGGAAAAGGCAGATTCAAGTTGTTTTTTCTGTTTGCGTCTGTTTTGCCCCTGTGGCTCCCTGTATGAGTCTGCCCAAACTTCCTAAGATTTGAGCAGGAGGCCTTTCTCTCTTGTTTCGCTGCCATCCCACAACTGTTTGATGAGGACACCATTTCTTGGTGGCTTTTTCGAAATTGTGGAACCCCCTTCTATGGGAGGGAAGTTCAGCTCTCCTCCTCCTCCTGTCTTTCTGTTGGCAGGCAAAGACCTTTTCATTTAGGCAGGCATTTGATTAATATGTTGTGGCATATGGAGTTTTTAATGGTGTGTAGTGTTGTGTTGTGCTGTGTTTCTGTTAGGTTTCAAATGTGTTTATCAGACTTGTAGCTTGTGTTTTTTCAACACTGCTTCGGTTTCACAGTGTTTAAACTTTTGTATTAATAGGTATTTTTAGCTGTTTGTTGTTAAGTGCCTTCAAGTTGACGTTGACTTTGACTTTTGGCAACCCCATGAGTGAGAGACCTCCAAGTTGCCTTGTTTTCAACAGCCCTGGTCAGGTCTTGCATACTCAGATCTGTGGCTTCCTTGATTGAGTCCGTCCAATATGGCCTTTCTCTTTTTTCCTTCTGCCTTCTACTTTGCCAAACATTATTGTTTTCTCTAGTGAGTCATGTGCTCTCAAGAGTTGGCCAAAGTATGGCAGTCTCAGTTTAGGCATCTCGGCTTCTAGGCAGAGTTCAGCCTTGATTTGCTCTAGGACTCATTTGTTTGTCTTTTGGGATGTCCATGGTGTCTGCAGAACACTTGTCC